GAGTCATGGTGCATGCAGCGCAACCGGCACATGCTTAACACATGGCGATGTCAGCAGAGGCTGCGCATCCTTGACGTCCGGCATCGGCAGGCTCAGCTTGAAGTCAGTACGTTCTTGTGAAGTCACTCACTTGCAACTCAGAACTGTGGTAATTCAAGGCTTCCTCATCAAAGCCAATCGAGCACATGAGCATGAAATCCGCGCAGCGAGCACAACCCTCCCGAGAGAACGTCTCAACACCAGCACTTGTCGACCTCTTGTCTGGCTCAGCTTGAAGTCAGTACGTTCTTGTGAAGTCACTCACTTGCAACTCAGAACTGTGGTAATTCAAGGCTTCCTCATCAAAGCCAATCGAGCACATGTGCATCAAATCCGCGCAGTGAGCACAACCCTCCCAAGAGAACGTCTCAACACCAGCACGTGTCGACCTCTTGTCTGGCTCAGCTTGAAGTCAGTACGTTCTTGTGAAGTCACTCACTTGCAACTCAGAACTGTGGTAATTCAAGGCTTCCTCATCAAAGCCAATCGAGCACATGAGCATCAAATCCGCGCAGCGAGCACAACCCTCCCAAGAGAACATCACATGTGCATCAAGTCCGCGCAGTGAGCACAACCCTCCCGAGAGAACGTCTCAACACCAGCACTTGTCGACCTCTTGTCTGGCTCAGCTTGAAGTCAGTACGTTCTTGTGAAGTCACTCACTTGCAACTCAGAACTGTGGTAATTCAAGGCTTTCTCATCAAAGCCAATCGAGCACATGTGCATCAAATCCGCGCAGTGAGCACAACCCTCCCAAGAGAACGTCTGGCTCAGCTTGAAGTCAGTACGTTCTTGTGAAGTCACTCACTTGCAACTCAGAACTGTGGTAATTCAAGGCTTCCTCATCAAAGCCAATCCAGCACATGTGCATCAAATCCGCGCAGTGAGCACAACCCTCCCAAGAGAACGTCTCAACACCAGCACGTGTCGACCTCTTGTCTGGCTCAGCTTGAAGTCAGTACGTTCTTGTGAAGTCACTCACTTGCAACTCAGAACTGTGGTAATTCAAGGCTTCCTCATCAAAGCCAATCGAGCACATGTGCATCAAATCCGCGCAGTGAGCACAACCCTCCCAAGAGAACGTCTCAACACCAGCACGTGTCGACCTCTTGTCTGGCTCAGCTTGAAGTCAGTACGTTCTTGTGAAGTCACTCACTTGCAACTCAGAACTGTGGTAATTCAAGGCTTCCTCATCAAAGCCAATCGAGCACATGAGCATCAAATCCGCGCAGTGAGCACAACCCACCGAACAGAACATCTCAACACACCAGCACTTGTCGACCTCTTGTCTGGCTCAGCTTGAAGTCAGTACGTTCTTGTGAAGTCACTCACTTGCAACTCAGAACTGTGGTAATTCAAGGCTTCCTCATCAAAGCCAATCGAGCACATGTGCATCAAATCCGCGCAGTGAGCACAACCCTCCCAAGAGAACATCTCAACACACCAGCACTTGTCGACCGAATGTCTGGCTCAGCTTGAAGTCAGTACGTTCTTGTGAAGTCACTCACTTGCAACTCAGAACTGTGGTAATTCAAGGCTTCCTCATCAAAGCCAATCGAGCACATGTGCATCAAATCCGCGCAGTGAGCACAACCCTCCCAAGAGAACGTCTCAACACCAGCACTTGTCGACCTCTTGTCTGGCTCAGCTTGAAGTCAGTACGTTCTTGTGAAGTCACTCACTTGCAACTCAGAACTGTGGTAATTCAAGGCTTCCTCATCAAAGCCAATCGAGCACATGAGCATCAAATCCGCGCAGCGAGCACAACCCTCCCAAGAGAACATCTCAACACACCAGCACTTGTCGACCGCTTGTCTGGCTCAGCTTGAAGTCAGTACGTTCTTGTGAAGTCACTCACTTGCAACTCAGAACTGTGGTAATTCAAGGCTTCCTCATCAAAGCCAATCCAGCACATGTGCATCAAATCCGCGCAGTGAGCACAACCCTCCCAAGAGAACGTCTCAACACCAGCACGTGTCGACCTCTTGTCTGGCTCAGCTTGAAGTCAGTACGTTCTTGTGAAGTCACTCACTTGCAACTCAGAACTGTGGTAATTCAAGGCTTCCTCATCAAAGCCAATTGAGCACGCGCGTGCGCGTCATTATATATATATATATATATATATATATACATATATATATGGTATCCCCCCCCCCCAGTGACCTACCCTTTTTCGCCTTGTCTCAAGTCACCCAGCTGCACTGCAAGCAAACTCGGTGTGCAATATAGCGTATTTCCTAGGGCGTAGACTAAAATACAAACTAAAATCGCATACACGGGACAGTAGAAAAACCAAAAATACCAAAACCAAAAAAACCAAAAAAAAACAAAACCAAAAAAAAACAAAAAAAAAAAAACAAAAAAACCAAAACCAAAAAAAACAAAAACACCAACAAAACCAATTTTCCGGGACTCTCAGGAAATCCCTATGAGGCTTCTCCAAGAGTACCGGAAAATTGGTTTTTTTGGTCTTTTTGGTTTTTTTGGTTTTGGTTTTTTTGGTTTTTTTGGTTTTGGTATTTTTGGTTTTTTGGTTTTGGTATTTTGGCTTTTTGGTTCGCCTTCACGGTCACGAGGCAACAACTACGCATTTTTAAGTGTGCCTATGCTAATTGTGCTTTTCAGAAATAGTATACAAGTGGTCTTTCTAGTGCTTCAGAACGTTATTATGTAAGTAGAGCCGCTAGTGTTTAGTGCATCTTTTGGTTGTACTCAAGTGTAGTAGACCTTATTCAGCCATTACTTGGTGCTCTGGTAGCTCAATTCGCATGGATAATATTTGCCTGGTAAATGCGATTAATTATCTAGAAGCAGCATTTGCAATACTTGTCTTGAGAAAAAGCATGTATTGCTTAGAATTGTTTGCTTAAAAAGTGACTCCTACTCGTCCAGGAATACCCCAAAACCCTATAATCCAAACTTTACCAGAGATTCTCCTGAAAAGCTTGCGCTTTTGGATGTCTTTATGTATTTGTGAATTTGCTTGTGTATGGCCTTCACTAAGTACTTTTCTAGGCTTCTTGTGCATTTTTTAAGCCTGATTGTGCAAGTTGCGTTTTTCAGGCATAGTATATATGTGGTCTTTCTTGAATACTTCAGACATCTTTGCTTCATCGTTACGTAAGTAGAACCGCTTCTATTTCCATTATTGTGCATTTTTAAGCTTGCTCATGCAAATTGTGCTTTTCAGACATAGTATATAAGTGGTCTTTAGTGAATACTTCAGCAATCTTTGTCTCATTGTTATGTAGGTAGAACCGTTTCCATTTCCGCAAGTGTGTATTTCGTATTTGGTTAAGTATGGTCCTTTAAATAGTATTCACTTGAGTCAAATTGGGCTATTTGCTTAAGAATTCCTCTAGTAGTTAAATTCGCATAGAATGAATACTTCAAAAAAAGTTGTTTCATGAATATGTAAACATAAGGTGTTTCATTTGACTTTGCAGATAGTACTTCAATAATACTTTGCCTGGTAGAAACACAACTGTTTCAATGCATTAATTGCTCAACAAAGCACTATTTGCCCTTTAAACCACACTTTGCCATATGTTGGTTGAATATGGTGCTTCTTTCGTATTTTGGTTGAGTATGGTCCTTTAAATGGTATTCACTTGAGTCAAATTGGGCTATTTGCTTAATAATTACTCTAGTAGCTAAATTCGCCTAAAATGATTATCTCAAAAATAAAAACGATTCATGAATATGTAAACATAAGGTATTTCAGTGGACTTTTCAGAGAGCATACTTTGCCTAGTACAAACACAATTGTATAAATACAGTATTTGCACTTTAAACGTGCACTTTGCAGTTTTTTGGTTGAGAATGGTGTTTATTTCGTATCTTGGTTGAGTATGCTCCTTTAAATAGTATTCACTTGAGTCAAATTGGGCTCTTTGCTGAATAATTTCTCTAGTAGCTAAATTCGCATAGAACCAAGAAAAATGTCTCACTATTTGATTAAGACTTGGCCTCGTACAAACACAACTGTATAAATAAATTAGTTGCTCAACAAAACATGAATTGCCCTTGAAACGCACAATATGCATGGAAAACACTGATCTAAACATCTAAAAACAGCATTGTCCGCTTCAGATTCAAAATGTAGATTCTTCCAATGCTGGCTTATCGGGGTCTGTGAGGTGGGTGTCCCAGTAACTGTCCTTCATTACCCGGTGATTAACTACGCGACTTTTGGGCCTTCTTTGTTATGTTTTGTTAAAAAAGCCTAAAAAGGCCTAAAAAGGGTAGGTCGCTGGGGGGGGGGGTAGCTAATATATATATATATATATATATATATATATACATATATATATTTGTATACGCACAACAATTCTCCCATGCCGACATACCAGCATCAGCACCCGTCAATCTCTTGCGGGGCCAGAGCCCATCGAGCACAAGCTCGTCAAAGCCGCGCAACCTCTTGTCTAGAAGTGGTAGTTGGCTTATGGACCAGCAGGAACACTCAAACCTGATATCAACATCAACACTGGTGAGGTTCGGCAGCACGCGGCGTGTGAGTCGGCCAACCTGCAGCTCGCCAGATCTGTGAGAATTCTCCAATTCTGACCCAGGCCAGCACACAAACAGCGGCCCATGCCCCGAGAGACAACGGATCAACCGGGATCGCTGGGAATCGAGTACGCAAGAGTGGCAGGATGCTGCGAAGCTGCCCTTAAGCGTCACCCCCAGGAGCCTTGGCCAGTGCAAACAAAACAACCTAAACCTCAAACCCTAAACTCTCATTACACCCCACCCACGCATAAAGTCTCTAAACGGCAGATCTACACTCACCGGGTCCCCGGCAAGAAATAATTACTAAGGACTGGGTTTGCGGGTTGAAACTCCCTCCAACCCAAGCCCTGACAGCCACCCTCAACCCAAACCCTTGCCACTCTGAGGCAACCATCCTAAACCCCGCCGTAGCCTCAAAAGGCAATCCCTGAGAGCAGCCCTAGACCCTAAACCCTAAACCCTAAACCCTGAACCCTGAGAGCAGGGGTCGGCGCCTCATCCGCGTTGGTGGACTCGGGCAGCGCTGTGCTGACGACTTGGTCGATGACGTTGCGGCGGTACTCGCGCGCAGGGGGACTTTGAAGGCTTCTTAAGGCTTTAGGGGTTTAGGGTTTAGGGTTTAGGGTTTAGGGGTTTAGGGGTTTAGGGGTTTAGGGGTTTTAGGGGTTTAGGGGTTTTAGGGGTTTTAGGGGTTTAGGGGTTTAGGGGTTTTAGGGGTTTTAGGGGTTTTAGGGGTTTTAGGGGTTTTAGGGGTTTTAGGGGTTTTAGGGGTTTCTGAAGGGTCCAGGGCTTCAGGGTTTTGGGTTTTTTTTTCTGGGGGGGTTTAGAGAGGTGGTGTTTCAAGCCCCGAGCTTAGGGATGGCGATCGTAGTACCTTCCAGGATTGCCCTAAACCCTAAATCCTAAACCCTAAACCCTAAACTACCCTCAACCCTAAACCCTCAACCCTAAACCCTAAACCCAAAATCCTAAACCCTAAACCCCAAACTCTAAACCCTCAACCCTCAACCCTAACCCAAAATCCCTCCGCCCTGCGCTGCCGGGTCCTGATTCTCCGGGTTTAAGACGAGGCCCCAGAGGTCTGGGCTCTGTCGCTCCACGAGATACCTGGCTCTCGGTGGAGCTTGGGCTGGGGAAGTCTTCGCAAGAACCCAGCAAGCAGAGTCGTTTAGGGTTTAAAAAACATCGTCACGGCTTCGCTGCACACAAGGACTGGAGGCAGGTCTGAAACCCCCCGAGGTAGCTTGTACATTACATCCTCACATGAAAGCCCTAAGCCCTACGGCTAACTTGAAAGCCCACCGCAGAAACAGTAAACCCTAAACAGGTGGAAGCGCCTTGCTTGCAGGCGGAAGAGGCCATTGCGGTTCGTCACGTCGACGAGTTGCTGGTCGCAGTTTCGGCTGGGGGAGGGGGGAGTGCAAGTTTTTGGGTTTCGTGGTTTAGGGCTTAGGGTCTGGGACATCCCCCTTTGAGGGGTTGTATAGGGAACCTTACTCTCAAACTTCCCCCTGCCAAGAACCGCAAGAGCTAAACCCGATCGCCTGATCTCACCTGGGACCTCCCTCAGAAGTCTTCAACGAAGCCCGAGTAACGCACCTGCCCCCAACACAGGTTCCTTATAGGACTACTTACAGCATCTTCGAGACGTTAAGAGCACACCCCCCCCCCCTCCTTCACAGGAATCTTGTAGGTCTACTTCTAGCAATAGTATCCCGGGGATGTCAGGGCTTTCTGCTCAAGTGATGGGTGATGGGTTGCCGTGCAAAGTCCAGGTTCACCCCCAAAATTGCACCGGAGAATCGATGTGGGGTTGAGTAGGCTTTCGGGTCCTCTTTGTCAGAGTTTAGGTGCCGGGAATACAGCACAAACCTCGCCAGCAACACTTTGGAAACCGGCCACATGTGTGTGTATATATATATATATATTTATTTATTTATTTTTATTTATTTGTTTGTTTATTTATTTATTTGTTTATTTATTTATTTGTTTATTTGTTTATTCATTTATTTATTGTGTTTCTTTCTTCTATTTTATGTGTTCATTTATTTATTGATTTATTTATCTATCTATTTACCGATCTTATGGCAACGTCAATGGAGTTCCGTGAGAGCAGCAAAACACCAGAGCACCCTGGTTGTACGGTTCTGGGAGCCGCAACCGACTGGCCCTGAGCTGCCGAAGTGTGGTTGGGGGGTCGAGGGTTGCGTTCAGGGTTCAGAGCTCAGGGTGCAGGGTTCAGGGCTCAGGGTTCAGGGTTCAGGGTTTAGGGCACAGGGTTAAGTGTTCAGGGCTCAGGGTTGAGGGTTCAGGGTTCAGGGTTTAGGGCTTAGGGTTTAGGATCCCAACACACCCGATGTACCTCGTCACAGGAGCCCCAGGCCCGCTTGTAGGCCTCAAGGGCGTTGCGAGGGAAGTGGGGATTCAGGGCTTACGGCTTTTCATTCCTCAGTTGGCCATTTAAGTCCTCTGGAAAATATCCCTACACATGGTCACATGGTTTTAGGTTCTAAACTTTAGGATTTCTCGAATTTTTGATTGAGGGTGCTGCATTTGGGGCGACCCTGTGCAGGGAAGACTGCTTCGCCCCGAGTTCAGAAGCTGCCACAAGAGCAGATACCTTTAACAGACTCCCACCTAAACCCTCAACCCTAAACCTCCAACCTCAAACCCGAAACCCTAGGCCTGAACCCAGCTCCCCGTGAGCGTTCAGTGCTTGGATCCGCGCGGTGTATGCAAGGTGAGGATCCCGATCCTCGCAGTACCTTGCTCAACTTTGGAAACCAAAAGGTTGAGAGCTCAGGATCAGTGGGTTCTAGGGGTCCTAGATTTAGGGTTTAGGGTTTAGCGTTTAGGGTTTAGGGTTTAGGGTTTAGGGTTTAGGGTTTAGGGTTTAGGGTTTAGGGTTTAGGGTTTAGGGCTAGGACTTGTTTGGCGACATTCCAGAAACGGAGTGGAATGGGTCGGCCCAGAGCATTATTCCCCCAACATACGTCATCTTGGCAACCCTTTTGTCGCTCTTCTCCCTCCCTTCAGAACCCAAAAAGCAACGGCACCCCTCCTACAGAGCCAGGGGTTTCGGAACCCCAAAAGCCCCAGAAAATCCGCACAAACCCCAAGCCCTTTAGGGCTCAGGTTTTTGGGGTTCAGGGTTTAGGGTTGTTCCGGCTGCTGCGAATCACGGCAAAGCGGCAAAAACTAGGGGCCCCCCAGCGCGCCCTACGTGGTTTTTGTTAAGGGTGCAGGGTTTCGGAATGAATCAGGGTTTGAGGTTTAGGGGTTAGGGACACACCTCCCCACTTGGCTTCCCAGGCTTCGCGGGGATACCCTCTCTTAGTGGGATTTTGTTGGTGGCAAAGAGAGAAAGAAAGAGAGAAAGAGAGAAAGAGAGAAAGAGAGAAAGAGAGAAAGAGAGAAAGAGAGAAAGAGAGAAAGAGAGAAAGAGAGAAAGAGAGAAAGAGAGAAAGAGAGAATGAGAGAAAGAGAGAAAGAGAGAAAGAGAGAAAGAGGAATGCGCCTTGAAGTATGCCGTGGGTTCGGTGCATTGGGCTCTGTGGGCAACCCTTAACCGACACACCTGAATCCTCCTTCAACCCCACACTTCGGCGAGCCAAGTGGTGGCTCACTTGCCCACAATCTTGGAGTCGTAGAAGGCGTTCGTCTTCAAAAAGTTCTCCGGATCCCTGTTGGTGTCGATGAGGATCCTCGGTAGACGTGTTGATGGTACCCTATAAACCCCTTTCACAGGAGGACTCACACAGCAGTAGCACCGGATGTTGCTAGACTGCTCTCCTTTTTCCAATGGTCCTTCACAGAGAAGTAGGGTTAGGTACCCTACATAGCCCCTTCGTGGGTTTCTCACAGGTCGAAGGGATAGAAAGTGCCAAATTCCTAGATTCCCGAGTAAGAACGGGCAGTTTTCTTCAGATACGGATGGGCGAAATACCAGTCGGAAGGCCAGAATTTGGGGCTTTTGAAGTTTTTGAAGACCTTCAGGAGGGTCTTTACCTTATTAGGTTTGGGGGACTTTAGGGTTTAGGGTTTAGGGTTTAGGATCCTCAGTCCGCGGCTTGGCCATGGCGTTGTGGAGGTGGGGGTCCTGGCTTCAGAGCCGTCGGGGATGAGGATTTGGGGTTCAGAAGTTCAGCAGTTCAGGGTTTTGGGGTTTGGGGTTTGGGGTTTTGGGGTTCAGAAGTTCAGAAGTTCAGAAGTTCAGAAGTTCAGAAGTTCAGAAGTTCAGAAGTTCAGAAGTTCAGAAGTTCAGAAGTTCAGAAGTTCAGGGTTTTGGGGTTTTGGGGTTTTTAGGGATTGGGGTTTGGGGTTCAGAAGTTCAGGGTCTTGGGGTTTTGTGGTTTGGTGGTTTGGTTTTGGGATTTGGGGTTCAGAAGTTCAGAAGTTCAGGGTTTTGGGTTTTGGGGTTTGGGGTTTTGGGAAGTTTTGGATGTGTGCTCGGGTCTGTCCTAGCTCGCGACTGCCACACCAAAGGTATTGGGTCTGGTGGGGCTGCATGTCTACATCCCTGAGCCCGAAACCCTATAAACCCTATAAACCCTATTTGCCGTATAAACCCTATAAACCCTATAAACCCTATAAACCCTATAAACCCTATAAACCCTAAAAACCCTATAAACCCTATAAACCCTATAAACCCTATAAACCCTATAAGCCCTATAAACCCTATAAACCCTATAAACCCTCTAAACCCTATAAACCCTCAACCCTAGACCCTAAACTCTACAAACCCTAAACCCTCAAACCCTAAACCCTAGACCCCAGAAAGCACCAGGCCTGGTTCCCCTCGGCAACGCGAGCTTCCAGCCAAGGCAGGAGCAGGCGCAGTCGGTTCCTGGCGTTCTCACTCATGGGCCCCGAACCCCTAGCAAAACCCACCCAAACCCCCAAATCTCCCAAACCCCTACACCCCCTAAGCCCTAAAAACCCAAGAAGCCCCGGATTCCACCGAGCCCGAGCCCTAAAGCCCGCGCGAGGGTAGGAAACGCCCCATTCAATGATCTGGCCAGGGGGGGGGGGGGGGGCCTCTTCTCGATCTGCTCCACAAGTGGCTCGGCCGGGCAGGCCGCTCTCACCTTGCTTGGGTTTAGAGTCTTGGGTTTGGAGATTGGGGGTAGCCCTAAACCCTAAACCCAGTTTATGGTTTAGAGATTGGGGTTTCGGGCGCACCTAGGGAAACTTAGTAGGGGAACTCAGGCGTAGAGACTAGAAGGTTTCCCTATGATAATCCCTATTAAGGACTGTTTGTATACTTGGTTTTGGAGTACTATACTTTTAATGCTGTTTTTTGGTTCAGGGTTCCTATTGTAGCTACTTATCCCTAAAAGTACAAACCGTTTTTCCAGGGTCTACTCCAAAGTAGGGTTAAAGGGCCAGCCGAGGTCTCAGGTTCACAGGGGTAGGTTTGAAGATACCTTGTGTTTTTTGTTACCCTTGATTTTATCCCCTACATATAATCCTTGCAAAGCCATGGAAAGTTAAGATTTGCAAATTTATAGGGCCCCCAAACCTACCCAAGTTCAGGGAGGAGATCCCGAGCATCCTTGACCGGCACCCCTGAACGTTCTGGGAGCCCCTGTCCTGGGTCTGGGGCTGCAAGTAACGCCAGTCAGGTGTCTAAAACCCTAAACCTGAACCCTAAAGCAACACCACGCCCTTCACCAAGGGGCACCTCCAGGGCCCTTTGAACCCTAGACCCGAGGCACCCTTTGAACCCCAGACCCTTTGAACCCCAGGTTTAGGGTTTAGGGTTTAGGGTTTAGGGTTTAGGGTTTAGGGTTTAGGGTTCTGAGGTTCTGGTTGGGGAGTGCCCCCCATCTAAGAACCTACCCAAGACCTGGGCCCCGCGGCATTCTGCAGCAGTGTCTTGATGAAGTCTTCGGAGCAGTCCAAGTCGATGAGGGACCCAATGACCTGGCTCCAATGCAGAGTTTCGGGCGTAAACCCTGCTGGGCGTTTGAACCCGCCTTAAACCCTGAGCTCTTAAACCCGAAGACACTTGAAAGCCCTAAAGCTTGTCTAGTCTGTTTTTGATGTGTCTGTGCCCTAACATGCCGGACTTCCCGGGATGAAAAGCCTGGAACCTTTCTGAGTTCATGAGGGGACTCTGCCGGTGTTCGTAGCGGGGAATGAGGGAGTCAGATACCCTACATTCGACACCAAGGGATTCCATAGGGTACCTCATTCCCTCGACCCTAAACCGGCAGCCCAATGCCTCCCACCCCTCAGCCCCGCCTGGGGGCACTTGAGAGGGTTCACCTTCACGACGTACACCTGCCGTCGGTCCATTTGGAATTGTAAGGCTCAGAACTTTGGGTTTTGGTAGTTACAAGTCGGGAGGGTTCTCATGACTCAACGCCTGAGCCACAGACTGTTTTGGCGAAACAACCAAGCAGACCTCAAAACTCTGAACTCGAAACTCTTGCACTCGTTGCTGCTCAGAAGCATGCCCGATCCCTGAACCGGGGGTGGGGGGAACGCTACACCCCTCTGCCGAAGCATGCGCCTCGATGTACTTCATCAGCGAGTTCTTGTAGAGGTAGTCGGTGAGCTCCTGCCAAAGCTCAAACCTCTCAAGCTTGAAGCCTCCACATCATTCTTCTCCATTTCCTCTTCGAGTGGGGGCAGCCTACTTGGTTAACCCTAAATCTTACACGCCAAACCCTAAACTCTAAACCCTAAACCCTAAACCCCGGGAGGGGAGGGTGAACCCATGACCTTCACACAGGTGTGCTATTGCCCGAAGCGCTAAAAGGCATGGGCCCCTCTCTGTCTTCGTGATCCTGTACAGCGGCTACGGTTAAAGGTTAGGAGGCTTAGGGCCTTTGGGGTTTCTTAGCGGTGTTGGGGTTTAGGCCGCAAAATCACCTGCAGGAGCCCGAACACGTAGCGATCATTCAACTGCCTCCCGCTGTCACACTTCACACAACCCTAAGCCCCATGTGAGCCTCCACGAAGTCGTGGAGGTCGCAAACGTAGATGAGAGGCCGGGGGTCTGGCCTCGAAAGGCTTCGGGTCTAAGGGTCGAAGAGTGGGTTGGAGGCATCAAGGCTTGCGCACCCCAAACCCACTCTAGAGGCCTCAAAAGCCCTGAAACCCAAAAAGCCCAAACCCTAAACCCCCCCCCCCCCCAAAAAAAAAAAAAAGACCTCTGAAGCCTCACTAACAAGGGGCCCCGAACCCCCTCCACCCCACAGTGCTTTGCCTAAGCCCCTAAAACCCTCTACCCTGGCCCCTAAACCCCGAAACCCCACACCCTAAACCCTGAACCCTAACCTTTAAACCCCAGACCCTTACACCCGTAAACCCAAAACCCAAACCCTAAACCCTAAACCCTAAATCCTAAACCCTAAACCCCTAAACCCTAAACCCTAAACCCCTAAACCCTAAACCCCTAAACCCCTAAACCCTAAACCCTAAACCCTAAACCCACAAGGCCCAAAACCCTCAGGCACACTGTTGCAAGCTGGGCCCCCGTCAGCTTCGCCTCCTTCAAGAAGTTCTTGACGACGGCCTGAGCTGTGAGCAACTACTTTGGAGGTTCATGGGCAACCCTAAACCCTAAACCCTAAACCCTGAACCCTGAACCCTAAGCCCTAAACCCTAAACCCTACACCTTAAACCCTAAACCCTAAACCCAGTCATTAGTAGGGGTATAGGAAAGGCAATGATAATTGTAAGAGAATTATGGGTAATTCTAAGTGGGGTGATAGGTAAGGTAGTTATCTCAACTATAAGCTTGTTTAGGGCACTTATAACTCTACTCAAAAACTACCCACGCCCTTGAGAGAGGCGGGCCGAGGTGGGGGGGGGGGGCTCTGTGTAACATATTTGGGAACCAAGAAGCCGAAACCTAAACAGTACTTTAGTTGTTCCTGGAGACTACCAACCTAGTCTTCTGCACAATGCTGGAACGGGGAACGCTTGTCCACTGCGGGTGGTGAAGATGAAGAGTAGAGGCTGTTTATGATCGACTTTCAAGAGCTTCCAAGCTTTTAACCTCTTTACCACTTAGATTTTCTTATTCACACAGCATTAGAGTTCATCATGAGCTCGTTAACATCATAAAGAACCTTGCAAATATGGGTGAACAACAGACAATCTCACAAGAAATGCTCATACCCCAGAAATTGTCTTCTTGTGTGACTCTTTCTTTCTTGATTGAAATTATTATCGCCATCCCCCATGCTAATTCCTTCTTGCACACCATGAAAGCGGAAGAGCCATATTGTGACCGCCCCAACTTCCTAATTGCCTTCATCTTGTGATACTCGTTGCTTCTCGATCGTTGCTCAATCCCCCCACCCCCCCCCCCCCTCCCCAAAAAAAAAAAAAAAAAAAAACTTCGAAACTCCCCACCCTGTCCCTAAAACCCAATTGCAAGGTTTTACATTCAGGTACCGTCCCTGGCTTGCCTATTCACGCAACGTTTCAGCACAGATGACCGCCTTATCATCAGCTTCTCTGTCCTGCCCATTGAGGCTCAGCTGGGGAACTGTGCCATCGGCCCCCCCACCGCAACAAGAAAGGCAGGGCGCCGCAATAATAACACCATGCCAATGTATTGATTCTCTATGAAAAACAGTAGGAATTACCCATCCAAACTGCAGCTCAGCAAGCACAACAAGAAAACTGCAGACAGTTTTTTGAACCCCCGTAATGGAAGTCTTGCAGCCGCATGTTCGGTAAAAAACTCATTTAAACAGATGCTCGGATGAAGAGAGTAGTGTCATTTCAAAAAGATTGCCTTTTTGGGGGGGACTGGAGTTTCGGGGGTTGGAGGCTCCAATATCCATTGATCTGGGGATTCTTAAAAAAAATAATTGCAGTAGGGATCCAAGAAAAATCTAAGGAACACTGCTACTATCTGTCCCTGAATTAGGGAATATTCCAGTAGGATCTGGTGTGATGTATGGAACTTGGTATGGCATGGAGTTTCTGGGACCGGTGGCGGGGCCCACTGCCAGAGAGGCTCCAATGCCCCGGGAATTCCTTAAAAAGTGTAATCGGGCTCCCTGGAAACTAGTTTAAGGAATACGCCCGCTGTCCAGAACCTCCAATATTGCTTAGTTACGGAATACGTCCCTTGAAGTGCAATAGGGATCCGAGTGTGATTCGAGGAATATTGCTTACACCCATGGAGCTTCTCGGCATGGCGGGCCCGTTGGCGGGGCCGGCTGGCCAGAGGCTTTGCTATAATAGGGATCCTGGTTGTTTTAAGGGAGATTGTTTCCATGCAATTTCTGGGAAAGCGGGGCCGGCTGGCGGGGCCAGGCACTGCTAGCGCTGCACAGAGGCTCCAACATCCTTATAATGCTTATAATAATAATAATATTAATAATAATAATCATAATAGTAATAATAATAATAACAAAAATAGTTGGGGAATATTCCCTAAATTGTAATCATGTTGTTTTCAATTACGCATGGATTTTCTGGGCATGGCGGGGCCCGCTGGCGGGGCTTGCTAGCGAGGAGTAACTCTCGGGAGAATCCCTTACTTCAGAATAAACTCCCTTCACGGCAGTAGGGATCCGAATTTAGGGATCCTAATTTCATTCGGCACAGTCGCCCGCCTGAGCCTCCCTCGCCTGCTTCGTAACGCAACAGTTCGGTACAGTTGCCTCTCTGAGCCTCCCTGGCCTAACACTTCGGTAGAGTTGCCGCCTGTGCTTAATAAGGCAACATTTCCGGCCCGCCTGCCTGCTCATTGCATGAGGCCACATTCCGGCACAGTTGCCCGCCTGAGCCTCCCTAGCCTGCCATTTTGTGTGGCCACATTCCGGCATGGTTGCTCCGGCAGTGTGTGGCCTCATTTTGGTACAGTTGCCCGCATGAGTCTCCTTGGCCTGCTTATTGCTGGCAGTTGCCCGCTGAGCCTCCCTTCCCTGCTTAGTGATCTCGTACTCCCCGCTGTCTGCCTGTGGTCCTCAATGCTGTACTGCCTTCCGTCCTGAGAGTCGTCACTTGTCCACTGGGGAAAAAACCCTTCCAGAACTCCTGAACCCACCCCAAAAAAAAACACTAAACCCTTAAACTCCAAGCGGGCCCCCGGGCCGGGTCATACACCTGCGACTCCCGGCAAACGCGCTCCACCTGCACCATGGATTGCTTGCGCCCCCTGTGGTTTCGGGTTCAGGGAACCCTAAACCCTAAACCCTAAACCCCAGAAAAAGGGTCAGCCCTCAACCCTAAACCCCAGAAAAAGGGGTTAGGTTTGAGAGGTGAACGCCTGAGGGCTTGCTTGAGGGTTCAGGGGTAGTTCTAAGTAGGCGCATCTTAGTCAAGGGTTTAGGGTTGTGGGTTTAGGATTAACTACAGGTTGCTCTACTTGTAAGAGCGTCTGAGCCATCTATGCAGTTAGTGAGGTCAATGAGGTTTAGAAGGGAGCCTCAACCTCCCACAAAAAGAGAATCAGGGTGGGAACCCCTAAACCCTAAGCCCTAAGCCCAAAACCCTAAACCCTAAACCCTAAACCCTAAACCCTAGAGGCACCACCCGGAGCGCTGCCTCTTGCATGTTGCCCACGCGGCTTGCAGCCTGCGCTCTTAAAAAGGCCATGAGTGGGTTTTGAGGGCTTGGGGGTTTTCGGGTTTGAGGGTGTAGGGGTTGAGGGTTTAGGGTTTTAGGGTTTCGGGGGGGGGCGGGTGCAAGGGGTTACCCCCAAGGCTCGACCCTGAACAATAAAGTCATGTAAGGAGGAGAAGGTGGCTGGGGGTTATGTATGTGACGTTTTTGTTCTTTTTTTTTTTTTGGGGGGGGGGGGGGGGGGGGGGGGGGGGGGTGCTCCCTGGAAAATGAGGACTATCAGGCATGCCTATAGAGCTTATGGCAGGGGTCAAAATGGCGCAGTCTGGGCACCCGGCCCTCATCCCTCTCCCCCCTCCATCTCCCTCACCCGAAGAAGGGCCTGGATGTACTTGAAGTGTACATCCGGGTCGGTGCCTCAGGCCAAAGAAGCATCGGAAGAACCCTGAACCTTGAAACCCTGAAGCCGCAAAGGCCCAAAATTAAAGCCCCAGACCTGTCTACTCCCCGATCCACTCTGGGCCACCCGGTATTCGGGTGAGGGTTTTTAGGATTTAGGGCACCCTCAAAATCTAAACCCTAAAACCCTAAACCCCACACGAGCCGAAGCCAACTTGCGATACAGTTGGCCCACCTGTCCCAACTTCCGAGTGCCCTCGAGCCTACAAGGTGCAAGGTGTTGCGCTATGAGCTTTAGCCCTAAACCCTAACCCTAAACCCTAAACCCTAAATCCTAAACCCTAAAGACTTTTCGGCTGAATGTTTCAGGGTTCAGGGTTTCAGCCTTCAGGGTTTAGGGTGGGTCTAGGGCCCTTTCGCTTTCAGGGCCCAGGGTTCCGGGGTTCCCTATAAGCAAGCTGCAGCCTCAAGCCTAACCCCTAAACCCCCCACACGTAAACCCTAAACTCTAAGCCCTTCAACCCCAAACCCTGAAGCTCTAGTTCAGCAAACTCGCAAGATCACTGGGGCCCCCGAATCCCTCATGCAGGCAGAGTGGCTAGTGTTCAAAATCGCACCGAGGAAGTAGAAGATGCCTCGCATCTTTAGGGCTGCAGGGCTTAAAGGAATTATTAAGGGTTCAGGGTTTAGGGTTTTTAGGGTTTTTAGGGTTTAGGGTTTAGGGTTTAGGGTTTAGGGGCTTAAGGGCTTGAGGGCTCAAGGGGTTGAATTGTTTAAGGGCTTGGGGGGCGACAGTGGTCCCTCCTGCTTACGTTTTGGGGCTGAAGAGCTTTGGGTTTGCTAAGCTGCACAGAGGGATACGATGACAGAGGCCCCCACAAAAGGCCATAATGTACACGGGGCAGCTCTTGATAATGGCCCCTTCTTACCCGGACATAAGGCTTCTAATCTAGAGACTATGCCCTATAGATCAAGACCCGGATGCAACCTGCAGCGGCCCTCGATGTTTAGGGTTTCTGGATGGGCCTCAGCAAGAAGACCGAGAACCTCAAAGTGAAAGACCTTGAGCCCCAAATCCTACATAACCCTCAACACCCTCAAAACCCTCAAAACCCTCAAGACCCTCAGAACCCTTCAAACCCACGACATGGTTCGCCTATAGACCTGAAACCCCTGAACCCTCTATCCCTAAACCCTACACCCTAAACCCTATTTCCTAAACCCAAAACCCTTACAACCCTGCCAACCTGAAGGCAACTAGAGACCCCAAGCCACGCACACTGCCGCGCCTTCGTTGGAGCCGAAGGACTCGAACCTATACTGAACTTGGAACCCTAGCAAGACTTCTATCCTTGGCTGTTTCTTACAAATTGTAGTACCCAAACAGAAAAAAATATTCCCAAGAATCCCTAAGGAACATCTCAACGATCTTCACCGCGCCGATCTGCTCGTGGTACTGAATGGCCACCTGCGCGTCTTGAAGTCTGGGTCTCAGATGAGGTGTTTTATATGGTTTTGCAGGGCTTGGTAGGGTCTTGTATATATACATACGTACATACATACATACATACATACATACATACATACATACATACATACATACATACATACATACATACATAGGAATATTAGCAAGGTGACTACTCATGATATCTAGCCGTGCCCCTGGTTGCTACAACCCTGAATTGCACCCATGGACCTCCAAAAGCAGGGCTTATGAGATGGCGGAGTTCCACTCCGGCTTGTGAGTGGGATCGTGTCGTGCGGTGGTGCTTTGCGGAGGAATTCAGGTCTCTCTGGGACCTTCGGGTTCTCTGATTTCGGGGTTTAGGGTGTAGGGCTTAGGCGTTGAGGGGCGTACCGTCGCTTCGAAGTAGATGGCAAGGCGCTGCACTCCCTCAGCCCCAAAAGACTTCAAGGGAAACCTGCACCCCTGACGAGCTTAAGAGTCGGAAACCTACGCAGCAATCCATTCAACCCTGAACCCTAAGCGCGCCAACCCCTGCTATCAGCCCTCCTAAACCCTAACCCCTAAATCCTACACCCTACACCCTACACCCTACACCCTACACACTAAACCCTCACCCTGGAAAAGGGCCAGGGGGAGCGGAGCCTTCACGGCCACTTGCAGGTTCTGGCGATTGTGGCGCATGAGGTCCGTGAGGCACTCCAGGGCCTTGGGATTCGAAAAGGGTTCAGGGTTCAGGGCTTAGGGCTTGGGGTTTTGGGCTTAGGGCTTAGGGTTTAGGGTTTAGGGTTTGGGGTTTGGGGTTTGGGGTTTGGGGTTTAGGGTTTAGGGTTTAGGGTTTAGGGTTTAGGGTGTTCAGCCCCCAGCTGGGCTTCGAAGGGGTTTCGGGGCATTTCGGGGTGTGGGGCTTGTCTCATGGATCTGGGACTAACCGCAGGAGAAGGGTTCTGGAGTTGAGGGTTTTGTGCTGGAAGGCTTATCGACTCGGGGTGCAAGTAGCACTTGGAGCTTTGGAAGCTTCCTGGGTTCCGGGGCTTTGCTGTTTGGTCCCGCAGGCTCATCGAGCCCTCCCCTCGACTCTTCGGACAGTAAACCATAAACCCCCAAAAACCTCAAACCAACCCAAAACTAGGTGAGGCTCCCGGCGCCTCCCCGTAGCATTCAAGACTCCAGATGTGGCAAGCCCTCCGAGGTCTTTGCTGGATGTCGGGGAGAGGAGCAGAATGAATGTGTTTGGGGCGCGCCGGAGCACTGTACGCTAGAAAAACACCCATCCCCAAAGCAACCCCATAGTTTACAGGACATCAGCAGTAGCCATTTTTTGGGCTTCCGCATGGTTGTGGATTCAAAAGAAAGGCCGGGCAAAGCTCGCCTGGAAAGGATGCCCTCAGCCCCATCTCCACCACCAAAAGTCCTTCAAGCAAAACACCTACACCCTAACAGCCCGATAAGACTTGAAAAGCCCGAGAAGCACGACAAACCCTGTACGCCTAACCCTACAAAGCCCATAAACCCCTACGAACTCTAAACCCCTTAACCCAGGTTCTCTGAGTGCTGAGCTGTCTCAGGGGAGAGCCTGGAGAAGTACTGAATCCTTGGCGGTGGTTTCTCGTGCTTGGGGAGGGAGGCTCAGGGGCTCCAGGGCTTCAGGCCTAGGGGATTTCGGGCGTAAGGGCCTCCAGAGGGCTAAGGGGTCTCGGGCCTACAGGTTTAGGGGCTTTAGGAGGGCTCTTTCGGGGGGGGGTTCTTAGGGGGTTTGCGGCCCGAAGGGTTGGCAGGGTTCCGAACTACCGGCCCCGCCGAGGCGCAGGAACTCCGGAGTCATCTGGTGCGCGTGCATCCTCGGTGGCATGGAGGGCTGGGCTTGGGGTTTGGTCCGGGCTACCCTAAACCCTAAACCCTAAACCCTGAACCATAAACCCTAAACCCTAAACCCTAACCCTAAACCCTAAACCCTATAGACTCTGAAGCACTACTTGGGGCCGGCCACCTGGGGCTCTGGGGCTGCCACATGACCCGCTTGAGGTCAGCAGAATCGGAGTAGTGCTCCATAGCCTTTGCGTGGGGGCATTTTGGAGGGGTCTACTTAGGGTTTCGGGTTTAGGGTTTAGGGTTTAGGGGTACTAGGGGTACTAGGGTTTAGGGTTTAGGGTTTAGGGGTATTAAGGCTTCAGGCTTAGGGCTTAGGGTCGAGGGCTGAGGGCCTAGGGGTCTTAGGGCTTAGGGTTTTTGGTTCCATTTAAGGGTTGTTCAGGAACTTGAATTCACAAGTTACCATAAGTTGGCTTAACAGCAACCCGCTTGAGCTGGGCGCTTTGCGGGCTAGGGCCTAGGGCTTTGGGCTTACGGCTTAAGGTCTGTCGTCGCCTCTTCAAGCCATGAGCCTTCGGATTTGGAGGAACCCCAATCCCACGAAGGGAAAGACCGGGGCCCGGGCCCACTGCATCAGGCCTGCCTTTTCGCAGAGCTGGCCGATGTAGGCCCGGTCGTAGTGGGTGAACATGTTCCTGGCAGAACGCCCCGATTTAGGGCTTAGGGTTTAAAGCTAAGGTTACAATAAGGGTTGCAAGAACGTAGTTACTGTACTCACAACCCCTGTTATGACTAGCCCATGTTTCCTGGCGCAAGGAGGCCACACACTTCCTACGAACCGAGGCCTATACAATTACTAGCTTGGTAGTTCTCTAAATAAGGGTTCCTTCTGGGGGTCCTATGTATGGTACGGCACCTTATAAGCAGGACCCAAAATGGAACCCTAATTTTGAAAGAACTACCCACATCTACTTGAAGGTTCATGGGTACTTGTACGTGTTACAAATTTATAGCAATGGCAAGAATCCTTCTCGAGGCTTTTCACGAATGTTCGAGTATCGGCACTGAAGGAACCCCAGCAGCTCTGAACCCCAAAACCGCCTAAAACCCCAAGCCCTGCGCCCCAAGCCCCAAGCCCTGAGCCCTAAAAAAACCCTAAACCCTAAACCCTAAACCCTAAACTCTAAACCCTAAACCCTAAACCCTAAACCCTAAACCCTAAACCCTAAACTAAACCCTAACCAAAGCGCGCGGGCCGCACATCTGGAGAATGGCCTCTGCAACCTTCGGGGCCTGCCTTGGCAAAGGGTTTTCGGGTTTGGGGTTTTAGGGTTTAGGGTTTAGGGTTTAGGGTTTCGGGTTTAGGGTTTCGGGTTCTAGCGTTGAGGGGTTGACGGTTCTAGGGATTGAGCTTGAGAGTTTATAAGGCGTTTTCTGGTTGTAGGGTTGTACGGTGTTATTGTTGTAGGGTGTCGAATGTTGGGCGTGGCGGTTCAGGGTTCCAGCGTTTCGGGCTTGGGGTTAGGGTTGAGGGTTCAGGGTGCGGAGCCTAGGGTATAGGGTGGAGAGTTTAGGGGCATAAGGGCTCAAGGGTCGTAAGGCTTCAGAGATTGATGTAAGAGTTTCTTCCCGGGTCCTGCGGGCTTTGCAGGGTTTATAGGGATTTGGCGCTTTATGGGGTTTGTTGTGCCCCAAAAAAAATGGCACGCAATTTCGACCCCAATGAACAGCTGACATGACCAGAGTTCTAGGCTTGATAACCAACCTCTCACCCCCCCCCCCCTCCATATGAAACAAAAAGTCCCTGAGGAAGGTACGTGGTATAAGTATACCTATGTAACGTCCCGTTCTTCTTTGCTTCGTCTTTTTGCTTGAAGCGGGCAGGGGGGGTGGGAGGGTTTAGGGTTTAGGGCTTAAGGTCCCTTTACGGGTTTGTAATCGAAGAGGCAGGCCAATGCCAAGATCCACATTCGCAGATTGGCCAAGTCGCTGGAGGTTCATCGCCAACAGCTGGGTCTGCACGGAGCGGGCAGGTTGAGCAAAAGAATTGCAAACTCCAAAACCCTACCCCTGAAACCATTGGATCCCTCAACCCTAGAAGCCTGAAAAGATGCGAGCTTGACATCTTGATTTAAAGACCACCAAAAGAACCCTCATGTACCCTCCACCAGCTACCCGAAGCTGTAAGCCCTAACCCAAGAAGCCCGACAAAAAGGCGGCCTGTAGGCTGCCCTGTTCCGGCTTGTTGGCCTCCAATGGGGTTAAGGCTGCAGGGTTTTGGGGGGTTTAAGGGGTTTTGGGGGGGTTTGGGGGGGGGGGGGGGCTTGGGGGTCTTAGGGGCTTTAGGATTTAGGGGGGTTGAGGGGGGTTAGGGGGCTCAGGGGCTCTGGGGGGTTTGGAGGGTGAGGGGGGTTTGGCTTTTTCGGTGTGTGCGAGAGGTTTCGGGGGGGATTGGAGGCTGCGGGCTTGAGAAGACTCCCAATGAAGCCCTGTCCTTGAGGGCATCCAACATGATCGAGGTTGTCTCCTGCAGACGGTTCTGATCCATGAAGACCTTGACGACCTGGCGGAACTAAGCGGTATAACCCCTCAAGGGTCAGAAAAAAGGAGAGACAGTGTACTAATTGCCCTCTAAGGTCCCTATGTTGTGGGAGGCAGCTCAATCTCAAGGGGAGGAGATTTTTGAAGAGACACGCGGAATGGGAACGAAAACTTATCACAGAAGGTTCAGGGTTGGGGACAGGGGCTTTGGGGTTGGAGTTTAGGCCGTGAACCCGAAAAAAGCACTACACCCGAATCTTATACTCAAATTAACCCTACACCCAAATCCTACTTCAGGATGTAAACCAAAACAGGGAGCGGCACAAGTGGCTGTCGTTTCTAGGAAGTGTCGTGCAGAAGACCAGGTGAAACATCCACTGCGGAGCTTGGCTTAAGGTTTCGGCCTGCATTCTGCACACCGAAAGCCCCCAAAGACGAGCCCAATGCCCTAAGCCTCAGAAACCCAAACCCTAAAAACCCAAAACCCTAAACCCTAAACCCGAAACCCTAAACCCCAAACCCTAACCCCTAAACTCAAGCCACAGACGATGCCGAACAGAGCCGAGCCTGGTTGATGTCGATGAGGGGCACGCCGTTCTGGCCCTGAATCAGGCAGGTCATCCCTGAACTCCGTAGGGCCAAACCCTAAACGTGAAAGCCTAAAAAAACCTATAGCCTAAAACCCTGGACCCTAGCACCCTAAACCCTGAACCTTACACCCCGAAACCCGCCTTTCGGCCTTCAACCCCGCACCTTACGACCCGAAACCCTAAACCTTAGAACCCTCAAACCTCAAAACCCTTTTCAAGGGCTTTGGAGCGACGGATGTAAGAGCGGTGGGGGTCTAAGTCCTGCTTGAGGTCGGACCTCAAAAGTATTGCTATGGCTACTATTCTTTCTATCTGTGATTACTACGATTTCCTTGCATTCATGCTAATGCTTCTTCCTCGTACCCTTACGATTATTACATTCTTCTTGCCATTCTTATTGTTCCTCCTCTTATTCTATTCTCACTGGTGTTACTATTCTTCCATTCTTACTGTTCTTATCATTCTCATTACTGCCACTCTTACTATTCCCACTACTCTTACTCTTCTTACTATTCTCACTCTTCTTACTATTCTTACTCTTCTTACTATTCTTGCTGTTCTTGCTCTTCCTACTCTTCTTACTCTTCTTACTCTTCTTACTCTTCTTACTCTTCTTACTCTTCTTACTCTTCTTACTCTTCTTACTCTTCTTCCTATTCTTACTATTCTTACTATTCTTACTATTCTTACTATTCTTACTATTCTTACTATTCTTACTATTCTTACTATTCTTACTATTCTTACTATTCTTACTATTCTTACTATTCTTACTATTCTTACTATTCCGGCTACTCTTACTTTGCTTATGATTCTTACTACTTCTACTGTTCTTGCCATTCTTCTCACTCTTGCCATTCTTACTATGCTTACTCTTCTTGCTACACTTGGTTTTCTTGCCACTCGTACTACTCTTATTGCTCCTACTGCTCTTACTACTCGTACTACTCTTGCTACTCTTACTATTCTTACTACTCTTACTACTCTTACTACTCATACTACTCTTACGACCCTTACTACTTTTACGACTCTTACGACTCTTACGACTCTTACGACTCTTACTACTCTTACTACTCTTACTACTCCTACTACTCATACTACTCTTACGACCCTTACTACTTTTACGACTCTTACGACTCTTACGACTCTTACTACTCTTACTACTCTTACTACTCTTACTACTCTTACTACTCTTACTACTCCTACTACTCATACTACTCTTACGACCCTTACTACTTTTACGACTCTTACGACTCTTACTACTCTTACTACTCTTACTACTCTTACTACTCTTACTACTCTTACTACTCTTGCTACTCTTGCTACTCTTCCTGTAAGACTGTCTATGTCTCTTCATAGGATTTCTACATTGGAATGCTGATCGTACTAGCCTTCTACTTCTTGCTATTCTTACTCTGCTTACCCTTCTTGCTACGATCGCTACTCTTTGCCATTCGGACTCGGGTCACTTCCGGGGGGTTGCTTCGAGCTAAGGGTCCTGTGGGTTGAGGGCTTGAGCTTTCGAGGCTTAGGGTGCCCGGGGTTCGGGAATTTAGGGTTCAGGATGTCCTGTTTACCGGGAGCTTTTCATGGCGAAGGTCAAATGCAGGGTGTTTAGGGATTTAGGGCGGTCTTAGGCGCTTAGGCGTTTGGTGGGCTCGCGGTGTGGGGAGTGGCCTCCAGCAGGCTCTTTGCGAAGTTGGTGGCGCCCTCCGGGTTCGTGGCGACCTGAAGAGCGATGGGAAGTCAGTTTTGCTTGAGTTCCAAAGTTGTTGGCTTCGGGTTCAGGATTTGAGGTTTACGGGCCTCAGGCTTAGGGTTTCAAGCCTCGAGTTTTTTGGGTTGGGGCGTCGAGTTGCAGGCCTATCCAGTGAGCCCAATACCCCTTACTTCGGGAATGTACCTCAATTCAGAATACAACCCCCCCATAACGTGAAGGGCCTAATCCGCAACTAAGGGGGGCGTTCGGCCGTCAAACCACAACAGTCCCAAGACCCTAAACCCAAAACCCTGAACCCCACAACGAAATACTAGCACCCAGCTGCAGCCCCCAGTTCGAGTCTGCCGTCCGCTTACGGGCTCGAGGCTTAGGATCTAGAAATCCTAAACCCTAAACCCTAAACCCTAAACCCTAAACCGACAAATCAAAACGAAACAAAGGGAACTCTGGGCACGCGGACCATGTTCTGGAGAAGCTGGGAGTAGTCCGCCTGGTAGCCCACCCTCTTGACCTGACAGGAAGTTAGGGTCGAGGACGAAGGTTTAGGGTTTGACCCTAAACCCAAAATCCGAAACCCTAAACCCCAAACCCTAAACCCCGAACCCCCAAAATTCAGGGGTTTGCGCTCAGCTCTCAGATCCCGAGCTCTTAAGGCACGTGCCTCAAAAAGAATGCATTCACTGGGCCCCTGTAGTATGCTGCTTTTTCTCAACGTAAGAGAGTAAACCCTACATTCTAAACCCTAAACCCTAAACCCAAACCCTAAACCCTGAGCTTAAGCCAAACATCTCACAAGCCCAATCCTGATGCCTCCACATGAGACAGGACGCGAAGTCAGTAGAAACATCCAGCATGCTATCATTATACCCCGCAAGAAAAGCCTTCTCTAAAAAATTGGGGGTGGTGTATTTAATTTTGGTCCTGTATGATAGGGGAGGGAATGAGAGTTTGTTTTCCAAGTCCGGAAAATGAAGCTGAAAGCGCCCCACAGAAAGGCAGAGCCGGGCCCGGCACGTAGGCCACGATCTGGTCAATCTGCCCAAGCTCCACGAAGCACTGGATGACCTTCGGGTGGCTTTTCTCTGGGCGCTCTAGAATCTCCCTAGCATCAACAATTCCTAGCGCCTCCACCCCAAGTGAACCAGAGAGAAAAACATGTCTATGTGTGTGTGTGTGTAACTAGTATCTCCTGTAAGGTGGGGAAGCCACAGAAGCCCCTGTTCATGCAGTTCGACAGCATACCTGTGCGGTCTCTATCTTGGCTATTATGCTGGTGTTCGGAGAAAGACAAAGAGAGAGATTCCGAAACCCAAAACGCCATGTAAACCCTAAAGCCTAAAGCTCTAAACCTGAGGTGAGGGGTATTGGGCTCTCTGGATCCATGCAGGTTCTGCTATGCAAAACCAAGAAAGAACTACGGCTGCCACATTTTGACCAAGCCCCCGGTTTAGAAAAAGGTCTGCATGGTGAGCTGTCTCAGACCGGGACACGAACTTTACCTAGTGTGTTAAATTATTAAAGGCATGGCCCAAATGTGGGCCGTCATGTGGGGTCCGAAGAATGTACCGGGAACTCATAGATGCGAAGTGTTCCCAAGCTATCCCCAAAAGGGCCCCAGAGGAGCCCCGAGGGCCTTCTGGTGCACGTGGGCACGGAGGTAGATGGAGAGTGCGAACCTCAGGCTGAGTCTGAGTCCCCAACCCACGAAGCCCTAGGACTGTAGGATCGCATGAGCCCTTGGTAGGGTAGGGAGTAGGGGTGCAGAGGTAGGGGGTACGGGCAGGGGGTAGGGTTGGACTATGCGTGTGCCTTAGGACGCGGGTTCCACCATCCTCAGACTGGTTGATTTAGTCAGGGCCTCACTCAGCCCTATAGTTGAACAGAAAGGCCTTCAGGGGCGTTTTAAGGCTTAGAGTGTTCGGACTGTACGCCCCTGCGCAAGCCAAAAACCTGCAAAAGACCCTCCACAACACCTGCCCTCTAGTCGAGCTGCTTGGTCTCGATGGGGCGCACGATGTCGCCAAGCTCCTTTCCAAACTCAAGCCACGGCCAAGGGGCCCTCAGCCCTACACCCCTGTCCCCAAGGGCCACAGGAGTCCCTCAAAGCTACACCCTACACCCTGAGCCACAATCACTCTCTTGCAGCTATGAGACAGGAAGCTGCTTGGGGTTCGGAGCTTAGGGCTTTAAGGCTCTAGGATGTATGATGTTTCAGGGCTCTGAGCCATCTAGGGCCTAGGACGGAAGGCTTAGGGCGTGACTTGGGAACGAGGGTTTCCCAACACAAGATGCCATCCCGGTCCTCCGTGCACTCCAGCTTATCTTCCTTGAGCCACTTCTCAATGAGCTCCTTTCGGCCTGCAGCGGGGCTACGCCCCTAAATTTTCAACCCGAAGGCAGACAGCTGGGAGGCAATATGCTCCAAAAAAAGGAAGCCATAACGGGGACCCACCCTAAC